GGGTCGATTTTGACATTCGCAGGACTGGCACATTCATGTAATCATCAAGGAGAGGCAAGGATGGCTCATACCACTCAGAAACCTCCAGCACCACATCGTCAATTTGATCAGTACGGTAGGATGACAGGCGCCATGCCTTTGCAACCTTTCCAACCCACCATCCAATTTCTGGCACAGCGGCACACTTCCTGCACATGAACCATGTATGCACATCATTTGGATGGGAGTTATCCTTGCTACGCCGGTACACAGCTTTGATGTCGATACAGTCATTTAAGCGTAAACAGGGATGGCAGAAGAGAGCAAGAGAGGGCAATATTGCCCTCCATTAATGGAGGACATAGGAGGAAAACAGAGAGCAAGGCACGGCAGAGGAGGAAAGTGGAGAGCAAGGGGCAGCAGAGGAGGGCAGGGGAGGGCAGGGGAGGGCAAGGGAGGGCATGGGATGACAGACGAGGACAGAAGAATGCAGAGAAGAGCAAGGGATGGCAGAGGAGAGCAGGGGAGAGCAAGAAGGACAGAGGATGGCAGAGGAGAGCAAGGGATGGCAGAGGAGAGCAGGAGAAGACAAGAGAGAGCAAGGGATGCCAGGACAGGGCAAGGGAGAGCAAGGGATGACAAAGAGGGCAGGGGAGGGCAAGTAAGGCCAGCGTAGGGCAAGGGAGGGCAAGGGAGGGCAAGGAAATGCAAGGGAGGGCAGAGGAGAGCAAGGGAGGGCAGAGAGGGCAGGGGAGGGCAAGAGAGGGAACACGAGGGCAGGGGAGGGCAAGAGAGGGCAAGGTATGGCAGAGGAGGGCACAGGATAGGAAAGGATGGCAGAGGAGAACAGGAGAGGGCAAGGGAGGGTAAGGGTGGGCAGAGGAGGGCAGAGGAGAGCAAGGGAGGGAACAGGAGGGCAGGGGAGGGCAGGAGAGGGCAAGGTAGGGCAGAGGAGGGGAGAGAATAGCAAGGGAGGGCAAGGGAGGGCAAGGGAGAGCAAGGGAAGGCAAGGGAGGGCAAGGGAGGGCAAGGGAGGGCAAGGGAGGGCAAGGGAGGGCAAGAAAGGGCAAGGGAGGGCAAGGGAGGGCAAGAGAGGGCAAGGGAGGGCAAGGGAGGGCAAGGGAGGGCAAGGGAGGGCAAGGGAGGGCAAGGGAGGGCAAGGGAGAGCAAGGGAGGGCAAGGGAGGGCAGAGGAGGGCAGAGGAGGAAAGTGGAGAGCAAGAGACGGCAGAGGAGGAAAGTGGAGAGCAAGGGGCGGCAGAGGAGGGCATGAGAGGCCAAGGGAGGGCAAGGTATGGCAGAGGAGAACAGAGGAACGCAAGGGATGGCAGAGGAGGACAGAGGAGAGCAAGGGATGGCAGAGGAGAGCAAGAGAGGTCAAGGGGGGCAAGGGTTGGCTGAGGAGAGCAGGAAATGGCAAGGGAGGCTACAATGTTGCGTACTCATAGACCAGCAGTTGCTTGGTTGTGTATGCAGCAGGCATGAAGGTGGGGTTTGCATGCAAAACGTCGGGTTGTATGTGGTGGAGCAGGTCACTGGATATGAAGGGAGGATCTTGAATTTGAACATTAACATGTTTTCTTCTATCTTAAGCTCAGGGCCTACTTTAGCTGCAGCACGTTGTGTTTCGGTCACGAGAGAGAGGATGCAGATCATTCAACCTTGTGGGCCTGCTGGTGGCTGTAAGCAGATATTGGCGTTGAACTGCTTTTCAAATGCAGTAGTGCTTCGTATGCTAAACTGTGAAGCACATGGATACCTTACGCCATGTAAGTAGTGCCATTCGTTTCATGCCTAAATTCACTGCAGCAGTAGTGCTTTTGGAACAGCAGCCTGGATTTTCATCAAGTCAATTAGTGCCTTGCTAATAAGCGAGGTAATATGCATGATTGATGATATTGCTTGAAACGTATGGTTTGCCAAATAATAGGCAAAAGGCAGGACATTTCGTTACAAACCGTTCAAGAATGTTTGTTCTAAACGATATTATCCATCAACACCGTGAGACAGAGCTAAAATACAGTCTGAAAACATCTGACAAGCCTTAACAACGGCTAACAGCACCAATTCCTGTTCTACTTCTCCAACATGGTTGTTAACAGCCAGGTCCACCTGCCGCCAGCCCAAACATCGTCTGACAGCCCCATCACTGTTAGAGAATCTGTTAGGCTAACATTTCCTAACAGGCACGCCTGTTAGCCGCTGTTAGACCCCCTATGAGTTGGTAGGGGGCACCCTCATCCAGTCACCCTAGTCAACTTCTCGGTGGATCGCTTAGGTTCCGCACCCAGCACCAGCATCCAACGGGATCTGCTGCATCGACGGCGGCCCAACTCCATTCCTGGTCGGCTCGCAGGTTAACTTTATAGCAGGCCACCACCGTCCATAAACTAGGGGCACTTTACTCTCCATCATCGGAAATATATTCGACTGTAACAGATCTCGATCACGGAATCTCCCAGGGGCCATTGCCCCAGGCCTTACCAGTAGTACCTAACCTGAGCATACTGGATGTACATGCACATGTGATGGATAGCATGCAGCAGCACTCTATCTGAGACAAACGTCCCCCGCCATGTAGTAGCTGGCCGCTGAAAAGGCCTCTCGAGATGCTGGTGGTTGCGCTTCACGCATATTTGTAGAGCCGTACTGTGTACCAGCTACTACAGCTCCTTAGAGTTTTCTTCCGCCTTATTACTAGAGTAATGATCGCCATCATTAAGTGTGTGTAGTATCACACATACTCCTCGAGTAGCATGTACCCTGTTTATTAAAGAGGCGATGTATGGTCGCTGGTCATCCTGTGGATGCTGACATCACAGAGGGACCCTGAGATAGGCTAAGCTCGAGGATGCCCTCTACTGTTAGATGGGGGATAATTGTAGTGCCCTGTGCTTATAACTGTATCTGTATCTGCCGATCGGTATTTTTCTCGTGTGTGTGTGTGTGTGTTACATGGTTGGGGGTGCGTGACCCCATACCTGTAAAACTGCCCATACGAGCCGAATGCCCTAGGGCAACATCTATACGTCTAAAAGCCACGGAGAACAGGAAACACCGCATATCAGCCCAGACTAGTGTTCAAAGGGGATAACTGAGTTTCGGTGAGCCCACATACGTTCCAACGTCCTCACCAGACGTGCTGGTTCCCATTTCATGGCCTCCAACATGCTCTGTTGATGATCGAATCCCTCTTCAGCACGGATATCATTATAGGCTGGGCATTCCAATAACACGTGTTTTTCATCCTCGATTCGGCTATTAGTACCACAGCATCAGCAAAAACGCTGCTCCCTGGGGACATGGTAATTGCCCCTTCGTGCTCTGTTTGCCAGCAACATAAACGAAACTGCATTAGCTTATGATGTGCTAAACGAGGAATGGAAACCTTAGCATGTGTTGGCCACATGACGGCTGCGGCTCCCGAAAAGGGCAGCCCATCCAGTGCTTATACTTCGCCATTTGCACTCCCGGTTGCTTCCCATCTGATGGGTACTCCTCTGGCAAGACAGTCAGACACGCATGGTCCCAGCCGCTCATCAAATGCTCCTTTAGTGCCGTTATCACCACTCCTTCGGGGTGGAGGTCTACTCAACAACCAGTCAGCACGCTCCTTTACCCCCATGACTTCTTGCGGTATTCCGCTCCAAATGTTGCACCCCAAGAAGGAAAACAGTCGTTACATGGAGGTTCCCCAACCCTCCCATTCCGGGTTGGTCAGAGCATCGGTTATCTCCTGCCGTAAAACTGTTATGAGCATTCCGTTAAATACGGTAATGACTAACATATTCTTAGTACTATTACTTGTGACGCATAGGCGGAACAACTCCTGCCGTACTATCGTACGTCGTACTCCAACAAGAGTATATCCTTACTTTGGTTAGTTCCGTCTAGGCGGACATTTGGTTGTCAAGAACCAACTAGCCACTACACTTCATATAAACGTTTCCGCTTCCATTTTATCGTATCTCGTCCTTACTCTCCTCGTTACAAAAACTGCATGAACAATGGACCCCACTTACTTTTCTGAAGTCATGGTATAACAGGCGACGGGCTCTTCTGAGGTACTGGTTGAGGCTATTCCTACTTTTTCCATCGCTTATTGTAGTAGCTGGCCGCTGAAAAGGCCTCTCGAGATGCTGGTGGTCGCGCTCCGCGCGTATTTGTATAGCCGTACTGTGTACCAGCTACTATACTTATGGTCTCACATGTGATGGGAAAATGAAAGAAAGGTTTTTCGGTGTCTCACGGTTGATGGGGTGCCATGGTTAGGAAGTTCCCATCTCAGGATGTCGCGGCCAGCTGGCGCCAGCAGTGTGAGGTTGTGCAGGTTATCCAGTAGGTTCCCCGGGAGGTGTATCCCCTCGCTGTCACCACTTCTGGGCCTGTCCAGTGGCACAGGCACTAGCGGACCAACTCACTCTGTCAACAGGATTGCCAGTGTCACGTTAACAGCTCCAAGCTACCCAAACAGTGCCACAATGTGTTTGGGATGTCGTGGCTCTTGCTGGGGTGTCAGCTATGGAGCACGGGCGGCAGTATATGGCTGCAGCCATAAACATTGACCCGGCACTGTTACCTGGCCCTTGCCGTACAGAATTGATCGAGTTGTTTGGGGGCCGCCTTCGGGGTTTCGCAGCTCTGGGAGTTCCACGGAAAGGATGAGATTCTGTTGGGTCAATCACACCTTTTTGTACATTGTGTCCGACAAGTTGTTATGTTCAGGGGAGCAGCACCGATGGATGATAAGCTATCACCTGTTTTTGCTTCTTTGTTTGGTTTTTTTATTCCGGGACTTTTGGAGCACAGGCCTCATCTAGTGACAACATGCAAGTTCCTGTCAGGATTTGCTGGTCAGCCTTCCCTATGGCATAAAACGGGGGGTTAACCCCCCCTTAAGTGTAACCCAGGGTGTAGGGGTAGAGGTTACCCATGTGGCTATGTACGAAGGGAGGTGGGTAACCTAACCCCGGGGTAGGGGTAGCCCCTTACCGAGGGGTAACAAAGGGGTCGGGGTTATACACTACTGATGGGTAACAGACAGGGTAACCCATGTTTACATTCACCTGCGCCTGTCTACACACGCAAACATACATGTCTTCACCAATCACTTGTGAATGCCCAATTATTAACATTGCCGCACCAAAACATGCCTTGTTTAGAAACCTAAACCTAAGGATAAGGCACACAGCTGCAGCCTATAGGAATACTTATTGGCTTAGCTGGCGGCTTCTCGT